TGCATTTTCCTCCTATTTTGTATACTACCTTTTAAGTGACAGAGGAAAAAAAAAAAGGTTGATACTGGACTATGGAGTCACGTTGTCTGGGTTCCAATAATGGCTTCACTATTTTCTAGCTATGTGACCTTGGGGTAAATCACTTCACTTGGTGTGGCTCAGATTGCTTATCTGCAAAATTGGCATGATAATAAGAGAACCTACCCCAAAGTCTTTTAAGTAATGTACTTGGAATGGTATAAAGCCTGTAGAAAATGATGATAAACTAGTAGCTTACTTTTAGTATGAGAGTGAGGCTTTATAGGATAAATACTGAACTGGGAGCCACAAGGTCGAGCCCACCAGTCTGTCTGCAGGAAAACGATGAGCTTTCTATTCCCAGAAAGGTTTACAGTCTCGGAAACCCTGTAAGTGTCACTTTAAGTTGGAATTGACTCCATGGCACTTAACAACTTTTAGTATATTTCTCCATATGTAAAGTAACATATTCTACTATGGATTATTCGTATTTCCAGTTCTCAAATGTGCTCACCAACATTTCTTTGAGGAATTCCTCAGATCCCAGAATGTGATTATGCTTGAGAAAATGCCATTAACCTTAAACACTTGCTACGGCTTTTATTTCATAATAGTTGACTTCTCTTTTTTATCTTGAAATTCTTCTTCATCAGCCTTTATAGGACTTCTGTATGGCACTGTGGGTTAATGCACTGGACTGCAAAGTCAGTTTGAACTGCAAGGTTGGTGGTTCAAGCCCACCAGCTGCTCCTTGAAAACTCTATACAGAGTTGCTATGGATCCGAACTGACTCTGTGGCACTTAACAACAATAGGACTTCTACCTTAACTCCTTTCAATTATTTTCTGTCCTAGTGTGGCACTGTGGGCTAATGCGTCAGTCTGTAAAGTCCTTTGAACTGCACGGTTGGTGGTTCAAGCTTACCAGCTACTCCTTGGAAACCCTGTACAGGGTCGCTATGGGTGGGAATTTACTTGACTGCACTTAACAACGACAGCTGATTGAGGAATAATACTGGTGTGTGCTACAGGATAATGCTGTGGACTGCAAGTCAGTTTGAACTACAAGGTTCCGTGGTTTAAACCTACCAGCTGCTACTTGGAAACCTTTTACAGGGTCACTGTGACTCAAGGGCACTTAACAACAACAACAACAACAACAGCTAGATGAAATGTTAGATAGAGATAGGTCAATTATTTTTCAGATAAGTAATCCTAGGAGGTGGATAGGAAGAGAAGGAGGGGCTGAAGGTCTTGCCTAAAGGCATGTAGAATGTGATATAGCCTCATCATTCCTAATCTTCATGTTGTTGATGCTTTGTGTCATGCAGTTGATTCTGACTCAGGAACTCTGTATAGCATTGCTGAGGATCAGCTGGTGGATTGGACTGCTGACCTTGGGGATACTAGTCCAGTGCTTATCCTATAGTGCTACACCACTCTTCCTGTTGTTTAGAGCCATCCAGTTGATTCTGACTCATAACAACCCTGTATAGGATTTCTAGGAGCGCTGGTAGGTTTGAACCATCAACCTTATTAATACTTATTTATTGGCGTCCTAATGTGGTGCTGTGGGTTAATGTGCTGGACTGCAAGGTCAGTTTGAGCTGCATGGTCAGCAGTTCAAACTCACCATCCACTCCTTGGAAACCCTATACAGGGATGCTATGAGTCAGAATAGGTTCAATGGCACTTAACACCACCTCCACCACCACCACCACCACCAGCACACCACCAGGACTCCACAGTCTTACCAGTAGACTGTTTTTAGATCTATTTACTCTGAGGACATCATGGTTGGTAACATAGAAGGTCCCAGCAAAAAAAAAGGAAGACCTTCAATGAACCAGATTCACATAGTGGCTTTAACAATGGGCTCAAACATAGAAGGGATTGTGATGCAGTCACGAGACAGGGTAGTCTTAGGTTCTGTTGTACATAGGGTAGCTATGAGTCTGAATTATTTTAACAATGTTGTTGTTATTGAAAGTGCCATCAAGTTGGTTCCAACCATAGAGACCCTGTATAAGGTTTCCGAGGAGCCA